AATGACAGAAACATTAGGCCAAACAAATTACTTGTGTTTCTACTATCAGAAAAAAATAGGGTAGGTATGTATTAGCTAGGCATTTTATTGTTAATTTGAAAAATATCTTTACTGCGCTAATATAGAGCAGGAGTTCTGACTTTAACAGTGCATATAAAAACTTAAGGGTATTGTAGAACACAAATCTGAGATAAGTCTGGTTAACCACACTGGTGTCGAACACACCAATAAGTATAGTGTGTATAATATATCATAGTTTATACACATCATATTACTATTAGTGTGTCCAGTATCTGTGGGGTTAGCATAAACTCAATATTTGTTTTAAACTTTTAATTGGCCTTATATAATGATCATTTATAGGTCAGACAGGGTTTGGTTTCCAATTCGGAAACTAGACCTGTTAAAACAGTTATCATTTGTAATTTAGAGATTAAATATTTCTAAGCAGAAAAAAATGAACTATAAATATTTTTCAACCTTTTCTGAGTTGTACAATTTTAGAGTATCTTCTGTCTGAAATCTGAACATAACTTGTTTTATGATAAATGTGTAAAACAATTCCTCATACTGGGGTAAAGTTTTTCTATATATAGTCCCAAAAACTACAGATAAAATCCTTGAGCACGTACAAGATACAAAAATATATATTTTACGTCCATTTTGCAAAACATACAACATAAGCTACAAAGACAAAACATGAGTATAATAACAGAGACCAAAATATTACAACATGGAAAAATAAAATAAAAACATGTATGTACATGTAGTATACTGTAAGCTCAGAAAAAGAGTTTATCACTTGGAAAGCACTTAATAGGCACATTGAACACGGTAAGCACATCAGCACATGGTAATTTAAGCACATTTAGAACATTTGCATACAGCACATAAAAAACAAAACCATAACATGGAAAGCTTATTAGCACATAGTAGGCACATTTGCACATTGTAAGCAAAATAAAGGAGTGCAATGGACATCTCCATGTTTCCTGGTTAATTTCTTCTTTATGGAAACAACCAGGGGAGAGTGATGTTCTGCTTCATCTTTTGTATTAATGAAAACCGTGAATATCTAAGTGCGTGTGTTTAAACTAATTTTGTTTTGTTTTTACTGGTACCTTTTTATGTACACATGTTTTACCACCTAAGGAATTAGATGTCTTAAGCCCCCATATGATGTGCTGTTATAAGTTGAATTTAATGTACATTTTGTTTATATTTAGTTCTGCTACCAAAGAGATTGACTTATTGAAATGTTTTTGAAACATTTTAATGAACTCCTCAGCTTTAATGCCTTATTTCTCACTATACAAGCTCATATTGCTATGCCTCCTATTTGTTTGAATATCATCTCTAAACATTATTGCTGGTGCAGAAATTATATGGTAACTATGTTCTATTTTAGGGGGGGAAAGCAATCAATATTACAACAGACAGGGATGGTTATTGATGGGAGAAAGGAGGATGAGAAATAGGAACTGTACCAACTCTCTCATACCTTTGAGGACTTCATGAACTTTTTCAAAAGGCTGCAAGAACTATACCAACAGTGACATGACATTTTGAAATCTGTCAGTTACTTTATAGAGGAGGAACCTCTGACTAAATCATTTTCTCTCAGACACATGAAAGCCGAGTCCACAGATCCTTCCATCAGCGAATAGTTCAAATGTAGTTCAAATGCTTTCCTCGCAAACTTTTCCTTAATGGAGAAGTCAGTGATCTTTACTTGGAACAGATTGAATCTGTGAATATTGATGCTGAAAGCCTGATGAATGTGATTGAACAGCCCCTACTTGATGCTGAAACCCTGATGAATGTGATTGAACACCCACTACTGACTAAGGGCACAAATGTTGGAAACAACGTTTGTTTTGATCAATATAACACTATGGGTGGTGGGAGCAAATTGGAAAAAAAATTAAAAGTATGTTTTTAAAGATAGAAATACTGGTCATGGCTTCCTTTTAGTTTTTGTCCAATGAATTAAAAGTCAACGCAAATGTTAAGTAGTAAAAGAAATGTAAGATCCCTGGTATACATTGTACTTTTAACAATGCTTATGATCAATATCAATAAAATAAAATAAAAGTTATAATATGTAACTTGATATTTGTTAACTTCGCTCGATTTTACTGTGTCCAACATTTGATATTAAATCTTGTGTGATATATGAGAGGGATAGCACACAAGATTGTATCAATGTCAATGAAAGCAATTATTTCTTAAGTTTTCAACCATATTTCTTGAAACTTCATTTCTAAATTTCATACATCAATTGTTCAAGACAGTTTTAAGGTCAATTTCATTCAGTCAAGGTGAAGGCTACAGCTTCACAACCTGTTCATGTACATGTGACAGAGAAATTGTCAGTGCATTCCTAACTAAGTATTCAAACCAAATTTTATAAACCTTGATCCATCATTCTCAACATTAAATCATGCACTACCTGTTTGCATATACACAAGCAACCTCAACTTTCAATAAGTCCTGTTGTCAACATTTGTTGCACAATGCTATCAGTTCTGAAACCAACAATCATGACAACTGTAATAACATAGTATGTGTTCTAGCTGGTACATTTGCAGTACTCTTTTGAAATGTATTTGAAATTAATATGTGCATCTTATTTCAAATGCTAGCCTATGAAGATGATAAAGCTGAACATATGCTATAAAGTTGTTGTTTTCTTTGTGAAGAATTTATGCAATGGAAATAGAGGGAAAATAATGTAACTCTCCTAATCTTGTGTGTGTGTGTGAGTATGTATGTTTATATTTTGTTTATCTTATTCAATATTGAAACATACAACAATGTATCATATTGAATTAGAGTGCTTTTTATATTATTTGTTCATGGGAACACAGATTCAAAATAGTTCCATTTTTCATAAGAAGAGACCTTTTCACTGCAGTGAATATGTAAAACACTTTATTTAAAAGTTTTTCAAAATTATTGAGAGACTTGTAAATTTATGGGTAGCAGTAATCCACTTGCTTATCCACAATTTAGTTTCGGCAAGTAAACATCCTTATAAATATTGTTCTGTAACAATATACACTGACTGATGCAAAATTGAAACTTGAACAAAATTCACACGTATTAAAAAGCATGCCAACCCTGGTCGATGTGCACACTTTACAAGATAACTTGCTTGAATATATATTGATCAATATACAAACTTAGACGATAAGTTCAAAGTTGAGTGAAATCCATGCCTAATTAATTAGCATACTGTACTCTGATTGGTCAATGGTTTTATGCCAAGTAACTTTGTTAGATAAGGCAAGGGTTGATATCTTATTCAACAACAAAGGCAAAGTTCAAAGATGTTCACAATCTGTGCATAATCTATTCAATGGTTTAAAATAATCAGGTATTGGTCAAAGGGGTAAATGCCAGTTTCAGTTTTTAATGTTCTATGAAATACATTGTATGGACAAAGGGAAGCAATTCCAAATTCCTATGCAAATTAATTATCCAAAGGTTTAAAATGATATATTCTAGAGGAAACTTGGTACCACTCTTCTGACAAACCTATAAAGATATACTGTACACACAAGAAGAATAACTTCACAGTGGTACACTTTTACATAAAACTTTGATTCATAACAAATTAACAGTAAATCCTTCTGTATAATATGATTGGAACTTCGTCTTTATTTTGTTCTCCATTCGAAAAATAATATATATATCTTTTGCCTTAGCTTTCAGTACTTTCAGTACTTTGATGTATAATTGGAGGGTGTACATATTAAGCAGGTTTTAAAATTTAAAAAAACAATTCACCGATGTAATCCACCCTCTCTGAAGTTGTGCACCTGCAACTTTAAATTTTGATCTAGCTATTTGGATGGTGGAGTGTCAATGTAAAAGAGTAGGTCACTGTAGCCTATGATTTGACCCTTGGCCTCCAGATCTTTGTTTGAAACTGCAGGAATAGTTTTGGGGACCTTTGTAATGGTCTCCATATCTGAATTGTAAAAAAGTTCATTTAAACTTTCCATTATTCAAAAGTTTGACAATTAAGTAAATATTTTCTAGATTTAAATTCTTTAAAAAGTTAGGAAATCATAAGTGTTATTTTGTGTATTTTGCTGTGATTCAAGCAAACTAATTGCTGTTGATGGTCTGAGTGGGGAAAGGCAAGACTTATAATTCCATGTTTTTTACAAATGATATTTTATTTTTTGATTAATTTACCTCAATGCACAACACATAAATACAATTGCTGGTATTACACATGTACTACCATGTGTTTGATAGTTATTCTATGTGTGTAGGTAATCAGACTGACCACAACAGCTATGACCAGGGGCTAGTCTGTGTGTAGGTTATCAGACTGACCACAACTTCTATGACCAGGGGCTAGTATGAACAAGTCTAGGCCTTAGTAGCAGTGGTATCCTGTATAAATAATCTCCCATTCATAAAATTTACTCCCATGGTATGTGAATGTAGAGATTTACAGCTACATTCCAGCCAGTTCAACCAGTACATGCTCTTTTTGAAACTCCTGCATGATGTACCTATAAATGTACAAATATTGATCCACATTCATGACACAGCATTCGAGACATAATCCGGAATTCTTTATTTTACTACTTGAGGTCAAGATGAAAGGTGAAATTGAGGTTACAGTGACCTTGATTAGGATTCAACACTACTCTTTCCCATGCTGTACACTGTTTGCTACCCATTCATGAAACAGAAGCTGAAATATGCTCTAGAAACCATTATTGAAGTATAAGGTCAAGTTAGAATTGTGGTCACAGTGACCTCGTTTTAGGAGGCGATACATAGCCTTCCCATGATGTACTTATATACAAAGGTTGCTACTATTTCATGAAACTGCAGCTAGATCTCAAGACCAAGTCATTAGAAATTTGCCCTCATAATTGAGGTTGAAAACAAAATTAAACAGCTAATACTTGGTGGATGTCTTCATTAACATTGTTTCACGCTGTATGTGATTAATTGCTATTTCTGGTTTCTAGGGACTATCCAGGACTCGAGATGGACTTATAGTGGCAGAAGTGGACCTCAACCTTTGCAGACAGGTCAAGGATGGCTGGTGTTTTAGGGTAGGTATCTATGGGAGGCTAAGTGGTCTGGAATTTAGAGCTGGATATCTATGGGTGATCAGATTTACTTGTGTTTCAGACTTGGTATTCATTAGGCTAGGTATCTATGGGAGGTTGAGTGTTTCAGGCTAGGTATCTATGGGAGGTTGAGTTTTTCCTGTCAGGTATCTATGGGAGGTTGATTGTTTCATGCTAGGTATCTATGGGAGGTTTAGTTCAAGCTAGGTATCTATTAGAGGTTGATTGTTTCAGGCCAGGGATTTATGGGAGGTTGATTGTTTCATGCTAGGTATCTATGGGAGGTTGAATGTTTCAGGATAGGTATCTATGGGAGGTTGAATGTTTCAGGATAGGTATCTATGGGAGGTTGAATGTTTCAGGATAGGTATCTATGGGAGGTTGAGCGTTTCTTGCCAGGTATCTATGGGAGGTGTTACAGGCCAGGTATCAATGGGAGGGGTTTCAGGCCAGGTATCTATGGGAGGTGTTGCAGGCCAGGTATCTATGGGAGGTGTTACAGGCCAGGTATCAATGGGAGGTGTTTCAGGCCAGGTGTCTATGGGAGGTTGAGTTTTTCAGACAAGGAAAGTATGGGAGATATAGTGTTTCCTGCCAGGTATCTATGGGAGGTTTGTGGTTCAGGCTAGGAATCTATGGGAGGTTTGTGTTTCAGGCTAGTTATCTATGGGAGATTGAGTGTTTCTGGCCAGGTATGTGTGGGAGGTTGAGTATTTCAAGCTTGGTATCTTGAGTGTTTCTGGCCAGGTATGTGTGGGAGGTTGAGTATTTCAAGCTAGGAATCTATGGGAGGTTTGTGTTTCAGGCTAGTTATATATAGGAGATTGAGTGTGTCTTGCCAGGTATTTATGGAGGATGATTGTTTCAGGCCAGGTATCTTTAGGAGGTTAGGTATTTCAAGCTAAGTATCTATGGGAGGTTGATTGTTTCATGCTAGGTATCTATGGGAGGTTTAGTTCAAGCTAGGTATCTATTAGAGGGTGATTGTTTCAGGCCAGGTATCAATGGGAGGGGTTTCAGGCCAGGTATCTATGGGAGGTGTTACAGGCCAGGTATCAATGGGAGGTGTTTCAGGCCAGGTGTCTATGGTGAGTGTTTCAGGCCATATGTCTTTGGGAGGTATCTATGGGAGGTTAAGGGTTTCAGGCTAGGTATTTTAAGTAGGTTGAGTATAACAAGCTAGGTATCTATGGGAGTTTGAGAGTTTAAGGCCAGGAATCTTTGGGAGATTGAGTATATCAAGCTTGGTATCTATGGGAGGTTGAGTATTTCAAGCTAGGAATCTATGGGAGGTTTGTGTTTCAGGCTAGTTATCTATGGGAGATTGAGTGTTTCCGGCCAGGTATCTGTGGGAGGTTGAGGATATCAAGCTAGGGATCTATGGGAGATTGAGTGTTTCCGGCCAGGTATCTGTGGGAGGTTGAGGATATCAAGCTAGGGATCTATGGGAGATTGAGTGTTTCCGGCCAGGTATCTGTGGGAGGTTGAATGTTTCTGGCTAGGTATCTATTGTTTGGTTGAGTATCTCTGGCTAGGTATCTTTGGGAGGTTTAGTGTTTCAGTCCATGGTATCTATGGGAGGTTGAGTATCTCTGGCTAGGTATCTTTGGGAGGTTTAGTATTTCCAGCTAGGTATCTATTAGGTATTTCAAGCTAAGTATCTATGGGAGGTTGAGTTTTTCAGACAAGGTAAGTATGGGAGATATAGTGTTTCCTGCCAGGTATCTATGGGAGGTGTTACAGGCCAGGTATCAATGGGAGGTTGAGTGTTTCAGGCCAGGTATTTTTGGGAGGTTGAGTATAACAAGCTAGGTATGTATGGGAGGTTGAGTGTTTCAAGCCAGGTATCTGTGGGAGGTTGAGGATATCAAGCTAGGGATCTATGGGAGATTGAGTGTTTCTGGCCAGGTATCTGTGGGAGGTTGAGGATATCAAGCTAGGGATCTATGGGAGATTGAGTGTTTCTGGCCAGGTATCTGTGGGAGGTTGAGGATATCAAGCTAGGGATCTATGGGAGATTGAGTGTTTCCGGCCAGGTATCTGTGGGAGGTTGAATGTTTCTGGCTAGGTATCTATTGTTTGGTTGAGTATCTCTGGCTAGGGATCTTTGGGAGGTTTAGTGTTTCAGTCCAGGTATGGGAGGTTGAGTTTTTCAAGCCAGGTATCTGTGGGAGGTTGAATGTTTCTGGCTAGGTATCTATTGTTAGGGTGAGTATCTCTGGCTAGGGATCTTTGGGAGGTTTAGTGGTTCAGGCCAGGTATCTTTGGGGGGTTTAGTATTTCAAGCTAGGTATCTATTAGAGGTTGATTGTTTCAGGCCAGGTATTTATGGGAGGTTGATTGTTTCATGCTAGGTATCTATGGGAGGTTGAATGTTTCAGGATAGGTATCTATGGGAGGTTGAGCGTTTCTTGCCAGGTATCTATGGGAGGTGTTTCAGGCCAGGTGTCTATGGTGAGTGTTTCAGGCCATATGTCTTTGGGAGGTATCTATGGGAGGTTAAGGGTTTCAGGCTAGGTATTTTAAGTAGGTTGAGTATAACAAGCTAGGTATGTATGGGAGGTTGAGTGTTTCAGGCCATATGTCTTTGGGAGGTTGAGTATTTCAAGCCAGGTATTTGTGGGAGGTTGAATGTTTCTGGCTAGGTATCTATTGTTTGGTTGAGTATCTCTGGCTAGGTATCTATGGGAGGTTTAGTTCAAGCTAGGTATCTATTAGAGGTTGATTGTTTCAGGCCAGGTATCAATGGGAGGGGTTTCAGGCCAGGTATCTATGGGAGGTGTTACAGGCCAGGTATCAATGGGAGGTTGAGTGTTTCAGGCTAGTGCAGACAGGTCAAGGATGGCTGGTGTTTTAGGGGAGGTATCTATGGGAGGCTAAGTGGTCAGGAATTTAGAGCTGGATATCTATGGGTGATCAGATCTACTTGTGTTTCAGACTTGGTATTCCTTAGGCTAGGTATCTATGGGAGGTTGAGAGTTTAAGGCCAGCTATCTTTGGGAGGTTGAGTGTTTCAGACTAGGTATCTATGGGAGGTAGAGTGGTTCTTGCCAGGTATTTATGGAGGATGATTGTTTCAGGCCAGGTATCTATGGGAGGTGTTACAGGCCAGGTGTCTATGGGAGGTTGAGTTTTTCCTGTCAGGTATGCTAGGTATCTATTGTTAGGTTGAGTATCTCTGGCTAGGTATCTTTGGGAGGTTTAGTGTTTCAGTCCAGGTATGGGAGGTTGAGTTTTTCAAGCCAGGTATCTGTGGGAGGTTGAATGTTTCTGGCTAGGTATCTATTGTTTGGTTGAGTATCTCTGGCTAGGTATCTATGGGAGGTTTAGTTCAAGCTAGGTATCTATTAGAGGGTGATTGTTTCAGGCCAGGTATCTTTAGGAGGTTAGGTATTTCAAGCTAAGTATCTATGGGAGGTTGAGTGTTTCAAGCCAGGTATCTGTGGAAGGTTGAGTATTTCAAGCTAGGTATCTATTAGAGGGTGATTGTTTCAGGCCAGGTATCTATGGGAGGTTTGTGTTTCAGGCTAGTTATATATAGGAGATTGAGTGTGTCTTGCCAGGTATTTATGGAGGATGATTGTTTCAGGCCAGGTATCAATGGGAGGGGTTTCAGGCCAGGTATCTATGGGAGGTGTTACAGGCCAGGTATCAATGGGAGGTGTTTCAGGCCAGGTGTCTATGGGAGGTTGAGTGTTTCAGGCTAGATATCTGTTGATTGTTAGGTTGAGTGGCTCGGGCAAGGTATCTATGGGGGGGAGTGTTTCAGGCCAGGTATCTTTAGGAGGTTAGGTATTTCAAGCTAAGTATCTATGGGAGGTTGATTGTTTCATGCTAGGTATCTATGGGAGGTTTAGTTCAAGCTAGGTATCTATTAGAGGGTGATTGTTTCAGGCCAGGTATCTTTAGGAGGTTAGGTATTTCAAGCTAAGTATCTATGGGAGGTTGAGTTTTTCCTGTCAGGTATCTATGGGAGGTTGAGCGTTTCTTGCCAGGTATCTATGGGAGGTGTTGCAGGCCAGGTATCTATGGGAGGTGTTGCAGGCCAGGTATCTATGGGAGGTGTTTCAGGCCAGGTGTCTATGGGAGGTTGAGTGTTTCAAGCTAGGTATCTATGGGAGGTTGAGTGTTTCAGGCCATATGTCTTTGGGAGATTGAGTATTTCAAGCTTTGTCTCTAAGGGAGGTTGAGTGTTACAAGCTAGGTATCTATGGGAGTTTGAGAGTTTAAGGCCAGGTATCTTTGGGAGGTTGAGTTTTTCAGACAAGGTAAGTATGGGAGATATAGTGTTTCCTGCCAGGTATCTATGGGAGGTGTTACAGGCCAGGTATCTATTGGAGGTTGATTGTTTCAGGCCAGGTATCTATGGGAGGTGTTTCAGGCCAGGTGTCTATGGGAGGTTGAGTGTTTCAAGCCAGGTATCTGTGGGAGGTTGAATGTTTCTGGCTAGGTATCTATTGTTAGGTTGAGTATCTCTGGCTAGGTATCTTTGGGAGGTTTAGTGTTTCAGTCCAGGTATCTTTGGGAGGTTTAGTATTTCAAGCTAGGTATCTATTAGAGGTTGATTGTTTCAGGCCAGGTATCTTTGGGAGGTTAAGTGTTTCAAACCAGGTATCTATGGGAGGTTGAGTGTTTCAGGCCTTGTATCTTTGGGAGATTGAGTATTTCAAGCTTGGTATCTATGGGAGGGTGAGTGTTTCAAGCTAGGTATCTATGGGAGTTTGAGAGTTTAAGGCCAGGTATCTTTGGGAGGTTGAGTTTTTCAAACAAGGTAACTATGGGAGATATAGTGTTTCCTGCCAGGTATCTATGGGAGGTGTTACAGGCCATGTATCAATGGGAGGTTGAGTGTTTCAGGCTAGGTATCTATTGATTGTTAGGTTGAGTGTCTCGGGCTAGGTATATATGGGAGTGAGTGTTTCAGGCCAGGTATCTATGGGAGGTTGAGTGTTTCTTGCCAGGTACTTATGGAGGTTGATTGT